AGCATTGGCCTAAGTTGATGCTGGGCAGTGGAAGGAGAGGGTAGCCGTTGACGGGGGAAGGCCATATGCGTGTCCCTCTTCCATCTGTAGGTACCTAGCTGAGGTCCCTTAGCAAGAGATTAACGGGAGACAAGCGTGCAATCTTACTTAATGTAAATCTCGTGCCCAATGGAAACCTTCAGAAATGAGGACCCAAAGAAGCAGGTGAATTTTACTCTAGGTCTGATGAAGAGGTGGTAGACGTGGGCACATCTGATAGGGCTCAGGGGCATGATGTGATGGTGACAAATTGGAGGAGGGTGGCAGGTCCCATGCTCAGATTCCTCCCGGGGTCCCCGAGTCTTCAGGCTCTAGGGAGGGTGCCTCTCACAGGAGGGTCTTACAACCTGTTCAGGGATGACGAGCAAGGGCAAGGGGGGACTGATCTTTTTACTTTTGATGTTTTCTCAAATGCCAGGGCGCCATCGTTAGAGGGTAACATGACCTGAACGGGTTGTGTGGGGGAAACAGCACGATTTCAAAGCAAGTGTAGGTGGAGACGATCCAAGGGTCACCAACCCGTGAATGGTGACCAACAGGGTGCACCCTTGACTGTTGTTCACCTTGGAGAAGCAGGAACTCTGGTGCATGCTACCCTTGGGAGCACGTCAGAGACATTAGGCTAAGTGAGTGAGACAGTCATAAAAGGACAAATACCATGCGACCCCACCTATAGGAGTTACTAGAGTAGTCCAATTCTTAGAGATCCGAGAGTCCAATGTCGGTTGACAGGGACTAGAGGGAGGATGAATTGGAGAGGTAACATTTTCATGGGTGCAGAGTTTGAATTTGGAATGATGGATGTTCTGGAAATAGATCTTGGTGACAGTCACCAGGCAGCGTGAATGTATCTAATGCCCCTGAAGCGGATAGTATGGAACACACATGTGATGCGTATTTTACCACATTAGGGAGAAAGAAAAGAGAGGAGAGAGGAGAGGAAGGAAGGAGGGAAAGGAGGGATGGAGGAGGGAGAAGGAGCCTTTGTCCTCACCCATCTTTGAAGCTCTGAAGCACCCTGCTTTATATTCACAAAGTCCAGGAATAGAATGTCAGGTTTTCGGGATGTAGGAATTGTCACCAACCACCACGGGGTGGTTTCAGGACTGGAAAGGGAAGGGCCTGGGAGGCTTTAGAAGCGCTGCCCTGTGGGGCGACCCTGCAGTGTGGCCCCACAGCACCTGGGGGTGAGGGGAGAGGGGAGACCTGGTCGTGCTCCTTGTAAGGCCTTGTTAGTGCCTGTCACCAACAGGGCCAGGATGAGGGTCCGCTGCAGAACTGGAGCCCTGCACTTTAAATTAAACCAGCGCCCCGCTGGGAGGCACGCACTCCCTTTCTTCTCCACAGTCGGGAAACAATCCTGAGGTTTGTGGGCATGGTTAGCAGCACCAGTGACCTTCAGTCTTTCCACTTGAAATGGATTCAAGATGATCACACGGCTTCAGTAAAATCCTTCTGCCTCTCCTCTTCACAGGGTGGCTGTCTCTCACCTCTGCTGTCTGTCTGCGGCCCTCTCTGTTTCTCTCTCTCTCTCTCTCTCTCTCTCTCTCTCACACACACACACACCCTGCATTGCTCCTCCTAGGGGTCTGCCAGGTACAGGAGGTTAATCCCACCTCCAAATGCGCTGCCCTCCCACCTGGCTCAGAAGGAAGTGGAGCTTTCTCACCTCCCCGCTCTCCTCCCTCCTCTCTGATGAACATCCAGCCAGATGGCCATTCCCCAGTCTCCCAGCGTGAGTTTGACTGACAGGAGCCTTTGATAAACCTTGGAAGAATGAAGTCATCTCCGGGTCACCGGGGCTGCCTGGCCTTTAACACCCCACACAGACCACCATTATCTGTTGAATAGGAGACAAAGGAAATTAGCCCAGCATCCCCATCATCCCTATTATTTCCGGGCTGATTTAAACCACAGCAATGCATGCCCTTCACTTTCCTCCAAAAGGTACAAATGTCAGCTGTTCAAAAATGCAAACAAGAGGCCTTCCTATGTTAATGGCTGGGTTTCTTTGTTCCAGCCAGAAGTAGAAAGTGCATTTCATTCACAGCCTCTGAGCTAGACTTACCAGGCTTCCAAACAACTTCCTTCACTCTGGGTCCCTGAGAAGCGTAGATGAGGTTCTTAAGCCTTCAGAGTTTCAGCTGGGAAAAGAAAAGAGGAGGCGAGGATTCATTTCCAACCTTTAACAGCAGATAATCAAAGAATCAGGAGATAACAGGACAAATCTCCTACCAGCTTAACCCGGAAATTGAGAAGGAAGGGGGAGAAAATCATTCTCTTCATTCACCCAGAAACAATTTTCTCCTGGAAACTAAAATCTTTAAATGTCGGCAGAGTTAGAAATGAGGCAGAGCTACCACAGGCCATGCTACCTCGAGGAGACTGCTGCTGATGGCAGCCAGGGCAGGCCTGTGCTCGTGTGTGTGTGTGTGTGTGTGTGTGTGTGTGTGTGGTGTGCTCTTGGTATTCCTTGCCTGTGGGTAAGCATCTCAGCTTCAGATGGAAATGCCACTATAGCAGAAAGGCTCATGATGGGAAAGAATTTTGCAATAATTCCAATGTTATGTTAGAGATCAAAACAAATTCCCTATAGATGGCCGCCACCCTTCTTCCAACAAGGCAAAGACTGCTTTTGTTATCATGCAAGCGACACCTTTACACTGTGGAAAGCAAGCGTCTGAGAAATCCTGACAGTCCAGATTCACTGATGAGTCAATCATTACACATTTGCTGGGCTTCAGGGCCAGAAGTGGCAGCAGGTCCAACAGACCCCACAAAGGTTCACAGTCCAGATAAGGAAGCAGTGGGATTAGGCTTCCTTATTAAAAAACAGGTAGGACCTACAAGGGAGGAAAGGTCCTCCCAGAAAGGAACAAAAGACTGGGGAAGAAAGAGAACCCGCCCCAGGGTTTGGGCTGGGATGGGAAGGACTTGGAGTAGGTGGGAGTAGGTTAGAATGCAGCAGCGATTGCGGGCTCAACTGTCCAGATGAAGTCTGATGCCAAATGCCAATGTCTGGGCTTGGCACAAGATCACGAGCCACCACACAGCTTTGTAGGTTCAAACAGCAATTCTTTATTCCCGATCTCACACCAGCCTCCACACACGCTCAGGGGAAATCCCCAATCTCCCGCACAATACTTTCTCTCCA